CCTCCGCACCGCCGCTCACGCCGCCTCCTCTCCTGCGCTTGCCAAACTCTCCCTGCACTAACAAACCTCTGCCCCGAGGGCTCCTACAAGAGCCACCTCTTGCTCCTGCTTCCCCAAATGCCTGCCTTTTGCTGCCAGTCTTTCCCTTGCCGCCATTTATTCCTGTTCCCCCAAATAATCGTACACACTCATTTAGAAAACAAGAATAACATATACACAGAGTAGAACATACACAAAAACACACGTAAAAATGAAACAAACCCCACTGGACAAAGACTACGGTACTTCAGAAAAAAAAAACAACCCTGTTCTTTGGACTTCTTTCTTTAATTCTCTACCTTGCCACCATGCTTTACCAAGCAAGCTCTAAACTGCCACTTTAGCAATATTCATAGCTACAGTACTGTGAAAGTATACAGCTAATAGTTGTGTTTGACTTATAAAGATCACAAATATTTATGTTTTTACATTAGAACAGATGAACCCGGGTAATTCTGCTGTGAAAGCTGACTGTAACTACCACAACTCATTCTAAAAACGCAGGATTTAGATTCTTTTTCTTCCAGCTACATTTTGATGGCTACATTATTAGCATTACTGTTTTACTTCTGTATGGCCCAACCACCATGGAAACAAAACCGTCTGAATCACAGGACAGGGTTAGAGCTGGCTGCCAACAGAAGCAGGGCAAGGATGCTAATACATCTTTTTTATCACCCTCTTCCAGTTTGCTGAAAACCCAAAGTTATTAGGTGCTACTGAAGGTTTGTGGTTGTGCTCTTTCCGGTTCCTGGAAAGCTATTCTGACATTCAGACCGAGAAGGCAGTGTTGAATAGCTTCAAACACAGATTCATCCTATTTTTTATTATTCTTCCAATCCAGTGGAGACGGAAGACACAGTAAAAGGTGTTAATAGTCCTTCCGCTCCATTTTCGCGTCTGTGGCTATCTGCAGAAAGCCCGCTTCCCAGGCAGCCAGCTCATTAAAATCAAGACGTACTAAATGTAAACAGATGTGCAGCTATTACTGATGGTGTCTAAGCCCCAGCACACGTCACCGGCTGACACAGACCTGCACGCTTCACGGGAACAACCTTATTATGGACTTGGAACATATTTACAGCCTTTTTGGGGGTAGTAGTTTTTTCTTTAAAACCATGGAGCTACGTAACAGTATGAAGAATAGAAAACATATTTCTGGTAAGCCCTTTATTCCCAGGCATCTTCACATAATACCTTTAACCACACAATATTCAGTACTCTTTACACACAAGGCAGCTCATGTTCCTGGGCGGATTCCTTGACTGGTGGTAACCACAATTACCTGTAAAAAAGGATTATTTCATCATGTCTTCAACACGGATGAGCACGAGAGAAAGAACTATTATCAGGCAGTTTGACTTCAGTTCTTCCTAATATCTCCTATTACATTTCAAATTACTGATGAGGAAAACCCACGTGTATTTCCATGTTTAAATAAAACATCTGAAAAGGAACATTTCAGTGCTCCTGTGACATAGCTGAAGGTTCCCCCACAAACTTCTAATATTTATCAACCAGGATTTGCAGCCAAACTGACAGGTAACTTCCACAGAAACAAAGCAGAATTTAAAGCCTTCCTTTGCATCCCAACTATTTTATTGCTTTCTACACTTCTGATGATAAAGAGGAAGAAAATAAAACCACTAACTCTTATCAAACACACCACCAATTTCTCTTCCGAACTGATTTCCAACCTTAAAGAGTAACCTTCACTTAGTTAAAAAAAAGGTACCAATAATATGTTGTATTCACACAGCAAACAATTTGCTGACGGTGGTAGAAGCATCTCAAGAAAAAAGATAACGCAGGAAAGTTAGTCCTCTATTTCCAGGGTGAAAGAGAAGACTTGAAATCAGCCACACAACTACCCTGCATATTGATAACAGTGGGTGGGCAGTAAGGGAAAATAATACATTAAAAAAAACCCCCAAAACCTCTACCCCTAACCAATAAGGATTTGTTGCAATTTTCCTTTGGCCTAAGAGATTGAAAAAAAAATTGAACACAGAGTAGAAAGGGGCCATTTGGTTTGATGCCTTCTTTGTCCTACCTTGTATAACAGAAGGCCTAGACTTTCACGCCAGGAGGATGCTTATTGCCTACGTGGCCTCTGTGTCACGTACAAAAGCTCTGTGTGGTGCCAACTCCAGGGGACCTATAACCAACAGAGCACCATGGGACAACTCATATCACTCCTACTCCAGCTTAAAAACTCTTCACGGAGCCATCTTTCTGTCCAATAACCTCCAGAGAAAACTTAGAAGTGAAGGTATGAATACTGCCTCCCTCCTGCCCCCCATTTCTGATCATCACACGGGACCAGCGATAGCATCTCCTTAACCAAAACACCCAGTTGGAAGATATGAGACAACCTGCCCTAACAGTTTCCTGCTAGTTTGTTCCAGTCCAAAAAAAAAAAAAAAAAAAAGGGGGGGGGGGAATAAGAATCACCCTGTTTCCAATTTATCTAGCCTTTATTTCCAACATAAAACCTTATTATAACTTTCTCTCATGGGCTGGAAATCTGTTTACAGCTCTGTATTCTTTTCTTGCAAAGGCATTTTTGTATTTGATCAAAAAGATGACAAAAAGATGGTGTTAACAGATGGACTGAAGAAGTACAGCCTGAGCTTTATATGCTCAGGAAAATATTTCCACCCCTCCTGCTATTTCCTGAGTTCTTTTTGACTTTTCAATACCATTTTAAAAGGTGGACTCAACGGTGATTCAGGGCAGCTACAGCATCTCCCCACGTAACTCATCCAAGAACTGATGTTATGGGTCACTTGTCTGGCTGTCCAGACTAAAGGGTCCTTTCACACAGTTTCCTTCCTCCTCTTTTGGCTATTTTTCTCCCAACGTCATGAAGCCCCCTCCTCCCTTAACTTCCATTTCCCCTGTAGGGTGAATTTCAAAAGGTACGATCAGCAGAGTGACGCTCAACTCCCAAAACAGCCCTTATGCTGTTGTAGAAGTCTTTTAAATCACATCCACTGCCCTGTTTTCTGTCATCTCCGGCATGCAGTGCCATCTTCATGGCCAAAATACCCCAACGATAGCCATGCTAGGAAGATCGGCCATCTACCTTTGCACCTCTTCTGCAGCCCGCACGGCCCTACACGGACTTTATGCACAAAACCACCCAGGGCAAGCTGGCGCGGGGCTCGCGAGGTCTCCAACCCACCGCTGCTCTTCCAAGCAACAAGGAATGATGTGAAATGAAGAGCAGGGAATCCCAGCCTCTCTGAGCTCTTGCTAAATTATCTCTAGGAGACTTCAATCGGTCCAGTTAACTCCCTGGAACAACTACCACGTTCTAGAAAGAAATAAACCCTCTAAAATCAGTGTATTAAGACAGGGACGTTCCTGTTCCTCTCGCAGCGATACTCTGCCGTCTCCACAGGCTTTGAAACAGAAACACCAAGACTGCAGAAGGTAACATTAACCCTAAATCGATGTAAACGGGTGATTTAAATAAGCAAAATAACCACTCTCTTTTCCAGAGTTATAAGTGGGCAGGCAGAACACCCCCGCTGAATACTTCAAACTACTGCAGCAGTCTCGGGGAAAAGACATCAAGCTGCAAAAAGCACATCAAAAGAGAGCAAGAAGTGACTTAACAGAACAAAATCTGTGCCCTCACCATCACTTCCTAGAAAACTTCAATCTGTGTTTACTAGCACCTCCTTTGACTTATTTTGTGAGAACTAATAGGGTCTTAAGTAGATGTTGCTGTTACTCCAGAACGGGTTTATCCTGGTTAAACCATCACTACGCAGAAGGATTATTTACTCTCTGTTTTCTTTTCATGTATGGCAACTAAGAATTGACATGAAATTGCTTAGTAAATTTGCAGAAATGCTTTTCCCTGTGAAGTCAGCGACCCTGCTAACTCCGAAACCAGCAGGTACCAAAGCAGACGCGTTAATGCGGTTCCTGCTTTGGCACGTCTCACCTCAGGGATAGCTACAGAGCTACCACTGCTGCATACAAGGGTTTTTTTTTTTCACTTCAACATGCCAAAAAGGCACATCCAGTTATCTTGTTTTTAAGGAATTACAAAGCAGTCCCTCACTGGTTTTGTTTTCACTATTTCTTTGCTTTTAAAATTAATTTATTTTCCTCTACTTTGGCTCAATTTCCAGTCTTCCAAAACAATAAATCCAGCAAAAATTATTAGTCAAAGAATCATCCAATCGTGAGGAGGAGGAAGAGGTCTGGAAACCCAGACCAGGGTGGGACAGAATGGTAAACCGGGATTCTGGATACATCTTCATTTTTGTGCCTGCCTCCATATCATCACTCAGCCACGAGAACAAGCGCTGAACGCAGACACAAACGCACGTCACAAAGTTTTTTTCCTGCTCCTGAAAATAAGACGGGATGAACGGGGGCGCTTCCAATTTCCATTTTGTTGCAGTTTACTTTCACAGCATTTCTGAAGGTGGTATTTTCATGAGGCGGAGAGCCCCAAAGACGCCCAGTACAACAAGCAAGGGTCAGAAACACATCCAGCTGTCCCCTATCTCAGCACAGTACTCACTCCGCTTCCACTAAAACACAGGCTCGCTCCAAGCCACCAGCCCAGCCACTGTTCTGCCTAAGGAAGATTAATATTAAACATCAAAAAGAAGAAAACTTTAGGAATAGTTAAAACTTAAGTTGCGCAACATATGGTTAACAGCATGAGCATTGCTGTATATTGCTGTTAATAAGCAGTTTGCAATTTAAAAATATATATTTTTTATATATATATATTGCAGCCCATATATCCCTCAAGATTATTCCAAAAGACAATTTTAAAAAAAATCTGGTTTAGTACTCAACGAAAAGAGACGGACATTTATAGGAAGCATCTATCTGAAGCAATTTTAGTCTATGTCCTCCTCCAAATCTGAGCTCTGCAAAGGCTTTCAGACACATAGCAAAAGGTACGTTCTTCAAGGAGTGCCACTTACTCCACATGTCTCATTCTGCGTTTGCATGGGATTAGCCTTTGGCTCCATGTCTTGCCTTTTTTGGTTCTGCTTCAGTTGGTTTAAAGAAGGTTTTGTCTGTGCAGCTCCAACAGTTTTGCTTGTCCACTGGTCAACCAGCTTGTGAAGATCGTCTGTGAACGTCCCTTTCTTGTTGTTACTGTTGTTGGCCTGAACCTGCAGGGTTGATTGCGGGAGGGGCTCAGGACACGTTACGAGACTGTTTGTCGAGGATCCTGGAAAATCACACACAAAGAAAGTTGACGATGGCATCTCTGCTTCACCACTTTGCTGCTCAAACAGTTTCTCATCTACTGCAATTCAAATGGCGGCTTTTCGGACTTTTAACCCTCCCCCTCCTTTCTACAGAACACCTTTGCTTAAAGAAATGGTCTAGGTCCAATGCATTCACATTTTCTATCACATGACGTTGCTTCAGCCAGTAGCTGTTGCGCCCACAACTTCTCTCTAGGTGAAATTAATGCCTCAGAGAGAAGAAACGAATGCGGTCCCAGTAACACGGACATCCTAAGGCTTACGAAGTCTCTTCAGAGGAGACTACCACGAGAGAGTGGGAGGCAGGGTGTATTACTTGCTAAAACTGCACGCATTTAAAAAATTAATTTACCATTTATTTTACTTGCATAAGTTTACTGTCCTCCTGGAAAAATGTAATTGTCATATCGGTTACAAGTAGGGTTGGCTACTACGCCTCAAAGGCTCCGGGAACCCCCAATCTCTCTCAGTGATGTTAGGACCACTCACTCTGCCATCTGCATATTTTTGGGGAAAAAAAACTCATCAGGACCATGGATGTACAGAAGAAAGAGGAGAGAGGAGGACATAGTAGGTGTGTGAGTTTTTGAGACAAAGATAAAGATACAGAACTTTTGGTATAGATAAAAGCAGACAGGAAGAGTATTGACAGATTAAATTTCATATGTTCACTTATTTCTAGAAGAACTAGGAAAAAAAAAAAATCTGTCCTTTTTATGGGTTGGTAACTACAAGTCTGACACAGCAAGATCAGCAGGGAACAGCAACTGAAGGTGCCTGAATTTGACCTACGCAGAAAATATAAAGTAACTTTTCAGCTAACATGTTTGACGTAGCTAAAGATTTGAAATAAAGACCATCTCTCCAAGCAAAAAGTTCATAGAACTGTAGTAAAATTATTATATAAGCAAACATGAACATTCAGTCTTCTTTTTTCTGTTAATCAGTTACTAGCCAATGAAACCGAGTAAACTAATTAGTCCTATGGTTATATAAAATACGTTAATAACCTTTAAATGATCATGCATTCAACCTGCAACGTAACTTCTAAGTGAGTACTGCTCATTTCCTTTTCCTTTGCTTGGGGGAAAGGGACCAGTGAGAAAAACAAGTATTTTGACAGGAAAGCTCTTCAATTAGCGTTTAATATTTCATGCAGCTCAACAGAAGCGAGATCCTAAGCTATAAATTCCTCCGGCAGAGAACTGCAGTCATATAAAGGTGTGTATTTCAGAAGGACAAACACTGAATCCAGTTTTCTCGCCGCATGCGTGCACAGTCTCACACACAAAGAATACCACAACTGTCTTGCAGCATGCGTGGTTCCCAAGACATCACAGCACATGCATTATTATGAAAGTATCACAATTTATACAGTCTAATTTCATATCAGTATAAGTGCATCAGCTCTATTTATTAAACAACTAGCTTTTAGTAAAAAATAATTAAAAAAAAAAGCAAAAAACATCCCATGCCATGAAGGAAATACTGAGAAACAAAAATGGGATAGTTACTACTACTGTGATCTTTGCCTAGACATAGTCGTTTCAAGGTGGACCCTACAAGGTAAAACAATACAAGACATACAGAATTAGGTAAGACTAAACACAACAAATCTGACGGACAAGCTTCTGTACTTTTAAGCAATCGAAAAGTAGTTATTATGCAAGAAAGGACAGACAAAGTCAGCAGTTCAGGTGAGTAAAGGAAGTCTAAATAACTGGACAGCTCAAACCTTTCTTAATGTGCAGCCATTCAGAAGCTTTGAAAAGTACAATAGCATGCCAAAAGCAAGGTCTCATGACTTAAAGATGTATTTGTTTGGGGTTTTGGTTTTTGGGGGGTTCTGTTTGGTTGGTTTTTGGTTTGTTTGGTTGGTTTTTTTTCTCCCGAATTGCCTTGGCTTCCTCATAGAGGGTTTTGATTCCTACTCTATTTATGCAGGAAATGATGTCAATTCAGTTTGTGATAGGAGGCCAAAAATGCTTTCAGGAACAAGTCAAGCTAGTCTGGCTGCAAAGACAAACTGTAAAACAACCCTAAAAGTCCTGTTTTACAAGTCCAAAAAGATACATTGTTCTGCAGGTCTGAGGCCAATTGTTTCCAAATACTTTTATTAGTAGGATTTGTGTCTAAATGTGAGATTCTGAACTTCAATTGAAAGTAACCGTGAATGAGTTTCCCTTATGCCTTGTCCAAGTGCGGAAAAATAATCCAGCAGAGTAGCTGAGTTTTCATTTAAACAAACTACGTGGTTTTTTCATTATCTCGTTACATCCTTCATCATGATTTTACATATTCTGTTGGATAGACAGTTAGAGTGCCAGAAGCGTACCGAGAACCCTACTTGACTGTCAGATCTTGCCAGACATAAGCACCGTTTCTATTTGAGTGCCAAATTTCCTGAAAGGTATTTTGGACTTGGTAAGAAGAATATCATTATGGTATGGGAGGAGATGAATCTCTGACATGGGGCATGGCAAGTTTATTGTGAAGAAGCACTTGAAAACATGAGCAAAATCAGGGAGTGGGGCAAAAAAGCAAGATACAGGATGGATGGGCTTTTTCTCTACAGCAAACCAGTGTCGGTATTTTATGTTACTGTGCCAGAAATGCAGATTTAAACTCGGAGATTGCAGGTCCAGGTTGACACGGGCTCTGAATGAGTCTTCAAAGGAGAAAGGAGAGACATCAGTCAGAGACTGAGGAAGAGAAAGTAAAGAGGGAGGAGAAAAAAGGGAGAAGAAATGTTTGTGTTTTGATATGGGTGGCATGAGGAGGAACAGAAGGATCGCTTTGAAAGATTTTCTTATTATTTCATGTAGTTTAATGAGGTTTCTATTCCAGGAAAATCAGAAGGACATGACTACGGTAATGTCTTATGCAAGCATGACCAAGTTTAGTTTCTCATCTCAAAGCCTAGATAACAAATACAAGTCACATTCACAACTGAACAATCCGTGTTGTATTTTTAATTTTTTCCCCCTCTTTTTCCCCTCAGTTATACCTTACCTTGCCTATCTCTTAAAGTTAGCTAGCAACTCCCGTTATGGAAACATCAGCGGCAGTAATACCAAAATGCTATTTTCTTAACTGTCCTGCAGCATTCTGCGCGTAGCAATAGGTAGTATTTGGCACAATATGTATGCAAGTGAAAAGCAACTGCCCGCGAAAAATAAAAGCAGGCAGCTGACTACAGTACGTGCTCAAATGCATGTAAAAGAGTTTAATCACCAACCCCTCCGCTTCCTGAAAACCAAGTCACAAGTTTATATGCACCTCGGGTGCCAAATCAAACCCGGGGCCCCCATACGTGCGGGGAAGCAACAGAGAACAATGATACTAGACAGAGTCACAAAATACCGCGTGAGCGGAGCCAGCGTTAAGGAAAATATTACAGGAGAGTCAATCACCAAAAAGACAGCGAGTTCTTCCAAATTGCATCACTCCAGCATGTTGCTTGGGAGATGAGAAACGTTATCTCAGTGGTGATATTGCCTGAAGCAGGGACTGACAATCATCGGCTACAATTCGTCTTAAATTCAAATTCAATTAAAAATGCATTTGCTTAACCTAATTCACCAGATTAATTGTATTGTTTCTAAAATCAAGGTGTTTAATAGCTGTAAAGTTAAGGAGATGAATCATAATTAAGATTTAATCTGAGACTGCAAAAGTTCAGCAGCGTGTTTTACCTCCAACTCCAGATTTCTTACGTGAGAAATTAAGTAGCTATTATATCATACAGGACAGAAAAAATCCGCTGTCCCATATTTGCATTCTAACAGCTGCCAAAAACCTTGAAAGCTAAAATAAAATTGAAATGGCAGTAAATTGTTAGACCATTTCCGTAATCGCGTATACACATACAATATATTAATTACTACAGACCTGACAAAAATCGCCTTCCGTAAGATTACAAGTCTAAGCCAAACGGAGTTTTTGAGAATCCCACTCACAATCAGCGCAAACTCTCCCCTAAGACACCCTTGCAATTTAACCCAGGGAAGGAGCTCAGGCTAAAATTATGCTGAAGCCCATCGAAAATGTTTTATTCCATGAAAAGGACAAAGGAGAAGTCAATACTGGACATGGGGAACAGATCAAAAAGCTGTTCTGGGAGAACACTGCGAAAGTGTTCAAGTTTGACGGATCTTGTAACCAGGGCAAGATATTCGGTAAAACTATCTTTAATGCATCTGAACATTTCTTTTTAAAAGCGTGCTGCTAATTTGTCTGCTAATACAGTACGGGCCTCACACTGGAATATCCAAGCTCCCCAAAGGGCTGTTTTTCCCTAATCAAACGCACAGATTCAGAGCGTTTCTGAAAATCCAGCACAACTCTTCCCAACAGCTCTCAAACAAACAAAAAATCCCAGGGAAACCTCGACTTGCGGAATAGACCCGGGACCCTGAACCGGCCGGACGGCCACATCCCAGCCCCAGCACTCGCTCACCGCCTCTCCCCAACACTCTCCCACACTCGCCCTCCTTGCTCAAGCGGGCAAAGATGCAAACGTGTTTAGCACCTAGTCCAAACGTTCGGCTCTGCCTGCACGCTGGGTCAACCTCCGTCCCTTCCAGGGGGGAAGGAGCCCGAGCCAGCTGGCATTCCCATCATCATCGTCATCATCTAGCACTATTTTTCCTGAGGCCCATGGTCACGGCTGCTCTGGACACCGGCTCCATGGAACCACCAGCCGTACGTCCTTCCAGCAGCAGTCCCAAGCCCAGCTGTCCTTGGGGAACGATGGGGCCGCACGCAGGCCCGTCTTCATCCCTTCACACACGCAACCGCCAACCCGTTGGACTCACCGGGAAAACAAGCTAAAATAACCTCCTATCCCCCATCAAAACCTACCAGTAATTCAGCTGTGGAAAACTGTCCAGCAACTCAAGTGACGGGCAGCATTTGAAACTAAGCTGCGCGCTCTGAGCAGCGGTGACTTTGGATGGATGTGTCAGGGTTAAGTGCCTGAAACTCAGTCCATCTCCTCGTGTGACTCAGAAATGGGGGAGTGCAAACCTCCTCTCCGAACACTTCGCCCAGAAGAAACCGAGAAGAGAGCATATGGGCTGAGAACAGAAAGCAATTAGTCGTGCCGAGTTATTTCGGCATTGGGGAACTTCACGATTTGAAGGATTTACATGTTCCCTTGGTTTCATTCACAATATCCATGCACCCAAACATTTTTAATATGCTGGTTTTTAATTGCCATCTCCCAGTCTTTTTGCATCCTACTGAAAAGTAATTCTGTGGAAGATTAATGAAACGACTTCTGGGAATTACACGTGCAGAGGAAGAAACTACTATGTCCGTTATAATACCAAAGGGGAACAACATTTGTGAACTGAGAATTCCCCCCTCAGGTTCTCAGAAAAAAATCCCTGAATGCAAAATTGTCTCACGACTTCAATAGTCGTTAAGAACTTGCGTGAGAATAAATTCAGCATGCCGAGCAGTAAACATCAGTTTTCAAGAACCTGAGTGCTTGGACGTTTAGGGACCTCAAACAAAAAAATCAAGATTATTTTTTAAAATATTGTTTATTCATAAAATTAGGAGGAGTGTATTTGAGTGGTCTTGTGCCTTTGATCTGTACCACTTGGATAATGATGAGCAATGTAGAACTCCAATCGGAGATCTGATATTAATGCAAATGAACAGTTAGTTAACCAAACATTTTCTCAAGAACTTTCTAATGTTATATGTAAGTGGCCTATAGTACCTGTTCAGCACAACATATCTTTATTGTACAAGCAAAATCTGTTTGCCTAAAAAGCAGCATACATGATTGGGTAAAAAGGTCTTAATTTTTTAATTAAATAGCTTGATATCATTGGTCGAATTGCCAATTACTTTAGAAGTCATACAAATAGGGTACAAATAGCAGGTGCACAATTATTTGAAACAAAAAATACTGGATCCTAGCAATCCATTTCAAAGTATCGTCTGAAAATCTGATATTGCTTTTTACTTATTTACGCTTTGATGAACTGCTAATTGACTTCATCTCTGAGGTCACATAAGGTCATAAGAAAATAAACTGAGTGAAGTGCTTCAGCCAGATCAGCTTACACAAAAAAAGTTGACGGTACTCTCCCTTGGAGTAACCAGATCTTCCTGCTGCTTACCAGTATATAAAAAATTGCTCACTTAAAGTAATTAAAGTGAATGCATGGGGAAGAAAATCTAGAAAACAGATTTTGAAAGAACTAGCTGGAGCACTATTGTCTCAGCATTTCCACATGCAAAGAGCGGGGAAAAAAAATTAAAGAAAATAGAGTGGATATAAACAGTACTGTATATCGTGTTAATACAGCCCTTGTATGGAAGTTATACCCTTCAGTGACCTTCTAGTATTGTATCAGCTTGCTACATGCATGTCTTCATAGTCCAAACATGTGTGAAAGAGACCATTCGTCTACAGAAGGATGGATTTCTTTTTGTTGTCGCTGGAACCGGGACAGCAGACATGTATATTTGCCACATTGCAAATAAAATTACTTCAACATAAATCACATAAAGTACAAAAGCTTTGATACGTCCAGGGTAAAATTTACCATAAGGCTATATAATAAATGATGAGATCTTCCACACATGCTTTTGGTGCCCAGGCACGAGCCAAAAGCAGTGCAAAAAAAGCTTTCATATGAAAAATTAATATAAATAAGGTGTGTTCATGATGATTACTTAAAAAAAAAAAGATAAAAAGAAAGAAAAGATGGTTCAGAAAAGGGGCATCCTGCCAAACATATTAGAGATATAAAACATGGAATTGGAAAAAGGGGGTAAAAGAAAGATGGACTGTGATAAAATACAAAAGAACAAATACAAACAGATGGACAAAGACACAGGTCCACTGAGGAATCTGGTACGAGGTTTGCTACTAGATTTATAGGTCACTCTCTCAGACGTTTGGTGGAAAACCGTCCAGCCTGCAAATGAATATAAAGGGAAGAAAACAAAGACACTTATAAAGTACAAGTAGCTGTGATCAGATGTCCTATACCATCAGTCAAATCAGCTTTGTTAGTTAAACATCCACATCTCCATTTTAACTTTGCCAAAGAGGAGTAAGTTAATTGACCATACACAAAGGATGCAATAACAGCAGAAGAGAACATAGATATTTTGTAGATTAGTTTGGCAGGATGTGCAATGAGAGGAAGGTATTTTAATCATCATTATAACTTCCAATATGCATGGCAACAAGATCAGTCAAAGCCTACGGAGGTGTGCAATACACAGAAGTATCAGAGGTCGGGACTGGGGAACACAGCCAATCTACAGTCATCTAGCTGGGACTCCAAAATCATGCACAAAGTTAACCCCTTAGATAAAGGAAACGTAACTTGGTTCTCTGGTTTTGGTTTTCTTTTTTCCCCCTTTTATTTTTTTCCCCTCACACCCAAGATGGTTTGGTAGCTTATAACGAGGAACTCTGGGTTCATCAAGGGGCTTAAAAAAAAAAAAAAAAAAAGCCCAAAACGAACCAAAGGAAACAATCTCCTATCCTTCTGTATCTTTTTTGGTTTCCTTTCTTTTTTCTCAGAAGTCTGTAAGGCAGACTCCAGAAAAGGTGTCAGTATAAAGCCACTGCTGGCAAAAATAAAAGGTGTTTCCTTCCTAAAAATTAGCATGCCTTCTCGCGTGTTGACTCTTAACACTTGGTAAGATACTTTACTTTTGTTCTTCTGACAATACTGCAACGATCTTTTTAAAGATAAGCCACTAATCTGGATTGTCAAAGGTTCATGTTCTTACATCACTAGAAGTGAAATCCACTCCTAAAAAGTTCAAGCATAAGGGAAGCGAACTAATCTTAGCATGTGCTGGAAGACATGCCGAACAGTTGGTATGAAAAAATCACCTTGGCCAGAGCTTGCGTTCACGTCACCTCCTTCGGGGCCTAAGCCGGAGCAGATGTCAGAAGACAAAGAGGCTTTGACAGAGCACGGCTGCTGCGTCTGAACAGCCTTCCCGAAGGTGGCTGAGGCAGGGGAAGGGGCTGCTGCTGCTGCTTCGGGAGATCCAGGCTGCGTTTTAGTTGTTTCTTTGTGGGGTGAGTCTTTAGAGTCTGAAAGATTACCTGAAAGAGCAAACAAACAAAAGGCATGCAACGGCAAACGCTAGGAAACCACCGAATAAAAATCCGCGCCTAAAAATAAGCGTTACTTTGCCACGAAGAGGAGCAGCGGTTTACGACTCTGAAGTACCGTATGACGCACAGGCTTTACGGATAGCCTGCACCGGAAAATAATCTACACGTACTACGGCTGATCCAGTTTCTCCAAGAAGCTTACGGAGTAGGCTTGATTTTTACAGTTTCTTTTCTGCAGTTTCGAGAAAGGCCGGAGTCGGGACTGCTGAAATGAAGTGAGAGCTGCAGCAGTGCCCAAGTAGGAGGATGAACGCGCAGAACGACTGAGCGGGACACGTAGGTTTGCTCTCAAACATGAAAGGTGAAAGCAAGCAAATGGAGAGAAATAAAAAGTTGCTGCAAAGACACGAGGAACTTTTTATTTATAGCTATCTATATATAGATAGATACATGTCTATATGTAAATACCTGTATCTACGTATCTATCTACATGGATATCTCGGGTAAAGAGGCTTTACCACCAGAATACCTTTGTAATCATTTGTTCCATGGATTTATCAGCAAAAGCATCTAACAATGGAAATGACAATTACATCAGTGACCGTATTAGAAACCGCCTGCCCTTGATCCCTGAAGAAAGGTCCTAGGAAGGCCAAAAATGAGGAATCTACATAGTCAAGGATGAGAAGACTCTCAAAGATAACGTGAACTTTACGCAGTGCCTCAAAAAAGTGGAAAATAACACAGAAGAAATGCATGAAGGAAAGCATGCACCAAAGTGGCAGTCTGAGCAGTTTCTGCTCACTAACTGAAGGTGACAAGGGGGGGGAAAAAAAAGAGGAAAAAAAAAGAGAGAGAATTGGGACATTTTATGCAGAAATAAGCTTTAATTCTTTGGACTAGGGTAGCACACCGACATGAGCCAAGATCCATGAATGGAGACAGATGTGGGTTTTGTGAATAGACAGAGGGGAAAAATGGCTAGAGAGAACCCAAGAACAAACTGGAAAATGAACGGACCAAGGATAACAGACATGCAGAGTAGCTCATCACAAGGAAAGGAAGTAAAACCTATGCACGTCGGCCAAGCAGCAGCTAAAGAGGTATAAAGCATTGACCATTGCTTCAGTCCTGTAGGCGAGAATACTGAGATTCAAGATGGATCACAGAACATCTTGCCTCTGAATATCTTTGCTTTTCCTATCTCAGCTGAAATCCTTAATTAAAAGCAAAAGCCTCCAAAACACTCTGTCTATAATTAGGATTGATGCAATGAAATTCGAAGTGGACTTATGATGCAGTGACTTTGAAAACAAGTGCTACCAGGTTTGAAATACTGCTGGAAGTGCCGCTGCTCCTCTAAATAACCGCATGAACTAAGTTGAAGAAAGATTATTCATACTCTATTCTACATTTTGCTGAGGAAATAGGTACTGGAGTATATCAACATTTCCCACTTGAATTATACCTTTATACTTACAAAAAGAGATAATGACTCAAGACTGTACTACCGTTTGAAAAATCTCAAACTACTTCAGATGGTCAAAGCATCCACCACAGTTTTATAACCGTTTTTACCTCCCATACTTTCGGGGAGCAAACGCAATCCAATCTTATTTATGTGGCATCTTGTAGGAAAAAATAAACAACAACAACAACAACAAGATACAGCACATAGTCAATAGAGGATAACAGCACCTAAGAAGTGAATACAAACATCAATAAATTGCATCTGAAGAAAGGATGAGAAAATGTAACCAGGCTGTATTCCAAATTAAAGCAGAATATTGCTTCTCTGCCAAGCATTGTAACCAGTGCAGAGAAGGTACGTATGGTTCAGCACTGGGCAGCTGTAATAAGCCTGTCCCAAAGGAAGCCCGCTTCAAAAACGGTTCGCGGTACGCAAACTTGAGTCATAGTATTAAAACCAATAAAAATTCAGTGCCTCTCCTGCAGCCCATGCAATTACACAGCAGAACCACAACGGACACAAACAACAGGCGGGTGGAAAGCAACCTAGTGTACCTACTTGTGCTTGATGTTCCACTCCTGAGCTGCTGGACCAGAGGGTTTAATAGCTTTCCACCTTTCAATTTATTTTTGCTGGTTCTTCGGCGACGGCTGCTTGGTGGGGCTGAGTGAAGGAACCCCAGGTTGGGAGGAAGGGGTTTCCCTAACCGAATATACAGTGCCTCTATCTCATTCTTCTGCTGAGTCTGAAGTTCAGCAATTTCTTTCATATGCCTAAACATAAAAAATAAAGAAGTCTGCTAGCGATGTATTTGATAAAGCACCACACCTTGACAGCGTAATTAGTTATAAAAAAAGAAACAAAACAGTCTTTGGTTATAAAACAATCAACTGCTCATCCGTACGTGAAGTTATAACAATCTAGCTGGCAAATGTGGTGACTGACTTCTCAAATATTCATTTATAAGACAGAATCCTAGACAGCTAAAAAGATTTTCAACATCCTCAGTAAAAACAACTGACTTTGACATGACATCTGACAGGAACTCCAAACTATTCCAGAATTTCTCTCTTCAAACCAGTGGCGTCAGGAAAGTTAACTCTCAAGGCATGTACAGCAGTTTGAAGGAGTTCAGCATGAAGAAAAGCGAAAGTGCTTCCCATAAAAATGCCATTAGCACATGAATCACTACCTTATTTATAACACAGATTTCATGACGCCATAAAGTCAGTTTAAAGGTTTTGTATTACTGTAGTTCTGTTTTAAAAAGATGCATCATCTGTATTCAGTAAAACCATTATACCTTAAGATAAAGTTTAACATTTTGGTTAAACTACCACCTAATGCTAGTTTTTACCCATCACCTGCCAGGAAAAAAAGAAAGTGTTCAAATTTAAAGAAGCTAGCTCTCAGGACCGGCAGCACGACAGCCTCCCGCCAGGCTCACCCAGCCTCCCGCCGAGGCTGGACCGATGACTTGATGAGAGATCCGATGGGAGGCGAAGCGAGGGTCTTACCTGCCTAATAGATACTAGGTTATCCCCTGCAAAAGCCAGCCTGGGAATAGTGATGGGTCTGTAGACCAGACAGTCTACGTCACCCTTGCAGAGAAGGGCGTGAAGAGAACACTACGGCAGCTGTCTACGCAGGCATCCAGATTACTGTTACGCTGCCTTAAATAGCGTCCACATGGGAACCTGCCATCACATACATTACAAGTGCTGTTGTTTGCTACCACACCAACATAGCTTCTCCGTAAGGAAACCGGCCATCGCAGCAGAAATGTGTTGGGGTTTAGAGAAGTTATTATTGAACTATTCTTCTAAATGGAACTGACAAATAAAGTGATGCATAAGAGGATGCATATTTTGGGGCAAGGTCCTAGCGATGCCCAATTTGTCCAGAACCAGTTTACTCATTGCAGCTATGAAAACCACATATTTGCTCATCACATGCAGAGATGCCGCCTAGGTATCTTAACACAAGCTTCCCTAGCGTTGTTAGCGAACACGACATACTTTTCTCTCAGGTTCTGCAATTCTTTCTTCATATCTGCGTCTTCAAATTCCGAGTCGTTGTCGCTGCTCATGTATGACGACTGCGAGTGGAAGGACGTTATGTTGATGGTAGGAATTTTTGTTCCTTGCCCGTTAGGTGAATCGAGGCCTGGCGAGCTAGCTTTGCCAGATCTTTGCAGAAAAGCAGCTGCTTTTTTAATTAAGTCAGTGGCTGCACTACTGCTCGGGGGGGACAGTGGGGCAGCAGCAGCCGACTGACGATGGAAAGGCTCATCAGCAGAATCACTCGAACCCTGGTCACAGAGGACATCGACAGAAGAGGCTGTCTGCACCCGTCGGACAGCTGTCTTCAGATCAGGGCTGGAAGGTAGCTCATCCAAATAGACGTCTGGGGGTGCTGAGAACCTTAAGCAGTGCGGCGCTGTTAAAGTTAATTCATCTTGCGTGCTGATTACTGAAAACCTGCCAATAGTTTTGGCTGGTGTACCGCTATCATGAGTTTCAGCCTGTTTTCCATAGGAACCAGAGTCTAGAGAGTCATCCCTTTGAAGGTTATTCATCACCCCATCTGCTGTAGATATCTGTGTTACATTATCTGTGTGTGCAGACAAAGTCATAGTCTTTGCCTTCTCGCTCCTTTTAGAAGTTTCCATCTGTTTAGTTATTCTTGATGATGTAGGCGCAACCTGGGGAAAATAATGGAGATTAATTTTGAAAGTAACTGTTAACAATCAAGCATAAAACTGCTCCTAGTTTCTGGTTACCTGAAGGAGGCCTTTTGTCGTAGCAGCAGGAGCTGAAGCGATGCTTGCAGCTGAACCTGTTTTACAAGTTGGAAAAGAGATACATTCATGTCTGGAATGCTTTAGTATAATAAAAGCCAACACGTTTATTGTGATAAACTGAAGTGTGATAAAGTGTAGCACTGAAGAATAATTTAAATACCTAATCTTTGTAATACAGGATCTATAAATGCAGGAGGCAGTATCGATGACAATATAAAATATCGGCAGGTAGGCACTCTCTTCAATCTATTGATTTGGGGAATTCAAATAATAATAGGAGTGTGGAATTTCATTAGTCAGCTGAAAATTTTTAAGGCGAAAACCAGAAGAATGACATCTGCATGGTACATTGGGCCTGCATTACTACGGCGTTCTTGATGTCTTGAGAAAGTAATTGCACTCGGCTATTCATGCATACAAAATGCTGCAGCTGACCACAGATGGACTGGTATTTCACACCTTTCATTTGACAGATGCTGACACCAACAATTAAAGGTGCCTGAAATGAAGTTAAACGCACATTGCTGAAAGTGGAAATTATAAGCTCAAAAGACGGCCACTCGCACCACAGAAGCACGCAAGAAGCAAAATATTAGTGGCACTAATCAAGACGCAATTATTTCACAACCTGGACACTGGTTCTGAAGTTAAACCAATAAACGCCGGCTTTTCAGAAAGCTGCTTTCTTATGGCACGCTGCACAGAGCGAACATAAGGCAAAAATCTGTCACTTCAAAGTTCTGAAATGGTGAAACACATCACTGCTTGATGGTATCTAAGATACATTAATTTTACTGCACAGCGCTACATTCCGCTTGCACACTCTCTTCTTTGTCTGTAGCGAGACAGATGAATGCAGGCTGCCCAAAGTTTTCCCCTCTCACACTGACCTAAAAGCAGTGGACGATCTATGTCCACCAGGACAAGAATGATCTACGTTGTCGCACAAACCTGGTAGCCAGCTTTGCCACAACAATCTCAAAAAAATATGTATTATAAGCCCTCCCCAGCCCCACCCATGACAGCAGGAGCAGTTTTGGGTTCCTCAGCCCTTAAAACTTCCCATGACTTGCAAGACAGGTAAATGGGGCATGATAAATACCCAGTTTCTTACTATGGCTCCTACTACGTTATTATAGAAAGGTGCTGTTGTAGCTACAAGTACCTAAAGAAAAGTACTCTTTACTAGTTCTCCATGGGACTTCCTTGAAAAATCTTACAGGCTTCCCCCGAGAGGGGCTACCCTCAATCACGTTATTTGTGTCAACGCATTTTTATGAAAGCCAGGAAATCCGAGGGACTTTCTGTTTGGACTTTTAAGGAAATTTAGTCTTGGGAACATAGCCTTCCATGTGAATACCCTATACCTACACTGCAGACATGTATTGCATGTTTACGGTTTAAAATAAATCCGCCTGTGAGGCAGTCTCTTTCTAGGAAGCTTGACAGAAGTGAGTTGTATATTATCAGTTATATTACAAGTAGGATCAGCAACGCCTTGTGCCGGGCAGTGCCCTGCAGTTAACCAGAAGGGTGAGCAGCAAGGGGACACCGGAGGAGAGGACCACGCGCTAGCACAGATGCATCGCTGCCGTTCATCACTGAAAGGAGCATTACCTTTTCTGCTTGCTGACCCACCTCTTGCTTCTGAGGAATGAGCACCGATGCCGGTGACCTCCGACTTCTCAAACTTTCGGCAAAAAGGAAAAAGAAAAAGAATTTCAGTCTCACGCACAAACAGAAAGGCAATGCGTTCTCCTTCCCTCTCTCTCCCTCTTGTCTGCCCTCACACTATTGTGGAATATTAAACTATTTTATAGTGTCTGTGGAGGTGGCCTTCTAGCTTTTCCTTCAACTCCATTTTTTTTTTTCCCTCCCTTGGAAGAAAAAAAAAAGCAGCGGCAGTGTCACAGAGGGAACTGCAGCCTAAGTTAGTGAAAAACAGGCATTGAATTATATATAACAGTTTGGGGGTTTGTTCTGGTTCGCTTTTCCAGCCAGACTGTACATTCTTCCTCTGTATGTCTGTCTTCAGAAATTCTACGTCTCTCTTTTCTTATCGGCACAGATTTTAATAGGACAAATTCAAATTACTGGAGAGACATAACACCTTTCACAGAGAGAAAATTTTATCTGCTGTAGAAGGTCATTTACTATCATAAACAATATGCTCTAAAGAGTTACTCAAGTGCAGCCGTCTTTCCTGTAACATACAGCATCTTTCAGGCAGTTGATACAGCTCATCCAGCTGACACTACCCGGAACAGCCTCATCCTTGCTACTGGGTGATGCCATTATCTCCAGAAACGCTACTTTTCAAGTAAGATATACACTGATCTTCTAGCAGAAAGTGCTGCAAATCTGTTGAATTTCATAAAGTCAGGATTTTATCTGGAAGAACGCAACACAGGTGCACAGTCAAGACACTGAGTAAATAATGACCCAGACCTCCGGCTCCAGCTTTCCTTAGATGCTTCCCAGTGCAGTCTTGCTCTGCCAAGCTCAGGGGAAGACAAAAGAAATCGTTACTGGGAAGCAGAGCAAGCTTCTGCCTACGGAGTGTCTTCCTTTAGCTGCAGCACTTGAACAAAGCAAAGGCTCCTGAAGTGTTTATTTTATTCAGACTGACTTGGAAGGCAGGCGTTATAATCACTGCCATTAATTTATATTAAAAAAAAAAAATTCCTATTGAAGTATGATCGTCTTCATCAGAACTTGAGTGACTATACCCCTCATTGTGTTTTATGTTCTTAAACTACAAAAAAATTATCACATTTCTGCCTGCTTTAGAAGCAGGACACAAGAGGAGGAGAAGGAATTAAGATATTATACCACTTTTAAACCCAAAGGAAAAGTTTGGCTTTCACTAACAAGCATTTATGTAAAATGAGTCAGAATGCATCTGACAGTAAAAATTTAAGAGAACTTTCACACTGGAAAGCAGTCAACAGACAAAAGGTAACACCCCCAGGAGCAGAAACATAAAATGTTTAGAGAAGCAAGAAACCTATACGTGTCCTACCACAGGCTCATTGGTTCTGAGCTCTGCTTTGGTGCTGTCCCTAACAGCTGGATTTGGGGGTATAAATGGCAGATTTTATTTTATTTTTTATATATATATATATATAT